GGTAGTGGCTGGTGAGGAGGCCACCACTGACTCAGGCCAGAGACATGGCACCTGAGCAAGGGGGGTCTAGGGCTCCCTCTCAGGTGCAGGGTGGGGTGGACAGTGGGGTGACCTAGAGCAGGAGCCATCAATGGAGCCTGGCTGTCAGCTGAGCTGAAAGTTGGGGGCCCCCGGGTCTATCCCCGGGAGTCGCCAGGGGCAGGCACATCAGGGGCCAGTCCTGCCCTTCCAGTTTAAAATGGGTAGTTATAGCCCTAACCGGTTTGGTTCAATGGACAGAGCATCGGCCTGCGGACTCAAGGGTCCCAGGTTCGATTCTGGTCAAGGGCATGTACCTTGGTTGCGAGCACATGCCCAGTGGGGAGTGTGCAGGAGGCAGCTGATCGATGTTTCTCTCTCATCCATGTTTCTAACTCTCTATCCCTCTCTGTCAGAAATCAATAAAATATATATTTTGAAAATAAAATAAACAGAAATGGGTAGTTCCAGGCCACTTTCCTGTGCTGAGTGGTATGTGAAGTGGGGCTGGCATAGAAATTGGTAACAGGAGAGCACCCCCTTCTGGTCAGTGGGTGGAGGTGCTGGCTCAGGATGGCCACATTAGGCCAGCTCTGTCCCTGTGTGGGGCCCTGGCCATGACGGAGATGCCAGCACCAGGTGACAGGAGTCAGAGGTGGCCGGAGAGAGGGAGCCCCACGGAAAGAGAGGCCGCAGTTGGCCACTTCACAGCCTTTCACCCCTGACTCTCACCAATACTCTGTGAGGACCCAGGAACAAGGTTGGTGAGGCTCAGAGAGTGGGAGTCGACTGGCCAGGACCACAGGGCCAGGGATGGAGAATTCTTCCTAGAGGAGCTAGGGGCTGGGGTGCTGTGCATGTAGGACTGGAGACACAGCTGGGTGGGCAGGGTATGGAATTGCGGGTCCTTCCCTCCGTGTGTAAGGCTCTGGCTGGGTCCAGGGTGGAATTGTTGGGGAACCCCTCCAAGCCGTCACTGTCTCCTTCCTCCACAGGAAGGCCTGAGCCCTGCCCCCAGCCCGCCCCCAGCCCCAGCCCCAGCCCCACAGCAGCCCTCTGGTGAGTAGTTTTGAAGGGGTGAACCCAGCTCAACTCCAGCTGCTCATGGATCCTGCACTGGGGACCTCTTGGGGGCAGGTGTCAGTTGGAGGTGCCTTAGCCTGGTCTCTGTCTGCAGGTGGCAGTCCCCCATTGGAGGAGCCATCCCCAAACCCAGGGGAAGAGGCCGGGCTGGTAAGGTGGGCTGAGGTGGGAGGAGCTGATGAGTGGGCACTTCCTAGGCAGGGCCTGGGCTGAATCCACCCTGTCCCCCTCCGTTTTTTCCCCAGCAACGGTTCCAGGACACAAGTCAGTACGTGTGCGCAGAGCTACAGGCCCTGGAACAGGAGCAGAGGCAGATAGATGGGCGGGCAGCTGAGGTGGAGACACAGCTGAGGAGCCTTATGGCATCAGGTGGGCCAGGCATCTAGAGTCCACTCCCCAACACACGCCACCCGATCTGCCCCGTCCCGCAGCCCTTCCTGACCGTGGGAGGAGTTGGGGGGGAGGCAAGGCTGGGTTCATCGTCCCCATTTACAGCTGGGCACGCTGAGGCCCTGAGCAGGGAAGCAGCTTGCTGGAGACACACCGCTCTGGCTTCTGGGA